TGTTAAGACATATAATCTACGTTGTTACTATCAAATTACATTATTATTTTTGTTTTAGTTTATTAATTGTTAAATTAAACTCGTATTGTATTAGTTTTTTATGCTCTTGGTTAGATAAAGCATGTAAACCGGCTGTGATATCATCTATTTTTAATCAATATTATTACCTGTTATGAAAAAAGCCGAGAATTATTTATTTTACAAGAAATACTGTTTCTCCTTTTCCTGAAAAATAGATAGAAAGTGCCGACTTACGCAGTGCCCGATCTCACCAATTCAATTGGAGAAAGCTTACTTGGCACCCTCTTGATTCTATGTTATAATGGTATTATAATGCATCATCATTATTTCTTCTTCAAACATATTTAGAGGAATTCAGGGCTCATGATAAATTTATTCTTAAGCTCTACTCTTTTCTGAATCAATTCTCAAGTAATGTTGAAAAAGTTCAAATTAAAATATACAAGTCAAAAGGAATAAACTTTGAGTCGTTCTATACTTAATTAATTTTCTGTACATCGACTTTGCAATGTCCCATTGACATCCACAATGAACTAGAACTGAGCAAAATTTCATTCGACGCTATCGAATAAATATCCAATCGAATAAAAATTTATCTTGATAAAAATTTACCCGAATAAAATTTTATTCGTACAGAAATTCATACGGAAAATAAAATATTCGACTAAAAAAGAATTCATTCGAATAATTATCTTAGATCAATATTTATTCGAAACAATTCGAATAATTCATAACTCAGCAATAACAGATGCTTCCCCACTTGATTAAAAAAAGGGAAGGGGGGGGCATATTACATTTAACATACACATAAATACGATTAAGTATGATTAAATTAATAAAGGATCATTAACTGAAACAGTTAATATATCTCCGCAAGGCACTGTAAATTAATCATCACTGCTAAATAGAGTTCTTTTGCAAAATTATAGTGATCTCTCTAGTTATCTTTATCTTTCAGATTTTCATTTCCCTTTCGCTTGTTTTTTCTAATTTGATTTCCAGCGAAGCGAGAGAAGAACTTCGGCATCGGGTGCGAGCTAAATGCCAGGTGAATAGAAAGAGGAAACATCTACGCGTTAAATTCTAGAAAATTGTGGCAAAGCCGGAGGAGTAGCAGGCTCGGAATACCAGCTATCACGGAGCACCGTTTCGTAGGTATACTAATTACAAGAAAAGACTGTCTATCTATACTCGTTCCAGTGCTTCATCTAACCATACCTCGGGTATTATTTCTGCGTTAAGCTTAATCGCAAAGTATAGTGCTGGCGAACGATATTTAGAATGAAAACGTTTACCAGCTTTCACTGAAATTTACGACGGACAAAATTGTTGGGTAAAATTGGACACCTACGATGTATTTACTCTTCATTCTGCGAATCGGGTTCCAAATACTTCCCACGACTATATTTTTTGCTTTTTTTATTCATTCAATTAAATTGATGAATCCTCCAGTACCAGCTGTTGTAAAAACTAATAAAATTCCCAAATATTTACAGAGCCGGAATTTAATTTTTGTATTTTGTACTGAAAATACCTGGAATGTAATTACACTCCAGTGGGCGGTTGTAGGATGTAGTATACGCAGAATGGTTTAAATTATATTTTAAACGAGAAATATATTTAATAACAATTAAATTAGTAATCAATTTAACAACGATTAAATTAAACGTTTAACTGTTAATAAATTATAATAGTGATTCAATTAACTGTTTAGTAATTTAATTAAATCACTCACGCGCCATTTTCTGCTGAGATTTCCGATCATCATGGAAACAGAGAATTTTATGGCTTGCATTTAACGCGAACGCTGCATTAAAATGGAATGTTGATCGAAATTGAATAAGGCGCGTTGTATATTTCAATTAAATTGCAAACGTTTGTCGTTGCAGTAAATTAATTTAAAAGTTGTGCGTAACGTGTTTGGTACATAAGCAAATAGAAACAGTTAATCTAGGCTCGCAATGAAGAGAATTAAATACACCCACGGATAGTTCCGTGGTACTAATTCGTGGGCTCCGCGCCTTCGTAATTTTGCGAAATTTTTAATAGAAATAAAAGTTAGTCGCTGTGGTACTTGTTCATTGAATTTGCACAAACTTTACTCGATTTGGAATATAAAGAATATAAAGTTTAGGAAATTGTGTGTGTTGGAAACTCTCGTTTTCGTTTAATTAGAAGAAATTTGCTTGCTTATTTTTGTGTATTGAACAGCAGGCCGAGAAAGTTGATTCTTTCGAAATATGTTACATTTTATAAGCTAACAATCATTTCAAACTTCAAAACCACATTCGGTGTTTTTCTTTTCTAAAACGAAAAAAAAATGATTGAAAAGTGAAAAAAGTGAAAAAAGAATTATCTTGTTCATAAGAATTTTGTTAAATGCCTGAGAAATTACGGCTACTAATTTAATATCCTGTATAAAATCAATTAACGTATACATGTCTTTGCGATAATTTGAATTATAAAAATCGATTTTGCATGATTTTTTTTTAAATGTATCATACTTATATTATTAATAAAATTGATCCTATTTATATTATTAATAAATTATATCACAATTGCACTATTATAAAAGTGTACACTTTGACTACCGCGTCACTCATATATGGGTGACAGAATTATTTAAAATTTAATTTTTTAAAATTAATTTTTACGCTAATTGATGAAGTATTTGGTATAATATAACTTTGCTTTGTAATTTTAATATAATTGGCTAAAATGCTTTAATTGTATGAAATCATAGAGGTTATTGGCGCGGCCGTCAGTGTTAAATTAATTCCTGTACACGTGTCTATTTTATTATTCCATACACGATTTTCCCAAGATCGCAATTTTTGAGAACCTAAGCCCTGTCGTATAGGAATTCTCAGCGTACAAGCGAAGCATCATCGATCACCATTTCGCAATTTTCATGTGCCATGTAGCAGAGGCCCGTGGAAAAGATTTAAAAGAATGGAAGAGTAGTATCTTCTGTTATCTCGAAGTCGGTGGTATCCGAATAAACGCCTTGAAAACGCGAGGAAAGAAAATGTTCAGAGGAGCAAAGTAAGAAAGATGGAATCGCGTGGCGGAAAAGAGAATCTGACCGTGAACGCCGCACCATGAATACGGTATCCATACAAACGATATGAAGGAAGAAGCGGGGACTGATGAGGAAGAGGGCAATCGGAAGAAAAGCAGAGGAGGTTTCTTAAAGCGGCTCAGCTTGAAAATCGGGGATGTCGAAGAGGAGAGGATAGTCCCTGTTTATATAGGCATTCCTTGTAGACGTAGACTATGAGAACGTTCCCACTCCCACGCCCGAAGTGCTCTTTTCCTTTCTCTGCGCTCCTCTTCTTCTCCTTTTCCTTCCATCTAACCCCATCCTTCTTTAGTATATGCATTCGCCATTCTATGTGTAGGCACATCTATTCGTTCGCACTCGCTGCTATACTCTGTCTACAGGGTGATTGCGAAGTAACTTTGGGTCAGACCTGGGCAAATATTATTCCAAATAAAACATAAAAATATCTACTTGAAATAATTTATATCAGTACAGTCGCTTGAAAATAAAAATAATATCAATTCATTTGAGACAAAGTGATTTCAAATAATAATTTATTTCGTTACTTCTCTATCTCAAATTGGTTAAAATAAATAATAATCAACAAAAAGATTTGATTCTATGAAATCTTCAGATCAGTTTGTTTAAAGCAAAAAGGTGCAAATCAGCCGCATTAAATTAGCCTCATAATTACTTTAAATAATTATAAAATAAAATAATATTTCAAATAATGTTCTTTTAGGAAGGATCACAGGTATGAAAATAACTATGAAATAAAATGTTATTTGAAATGATATATCAAATAATGTAATTTCAAATGTGCCCAGGGGTCTGCTTCGGGTCTAAGAATGGGAACAGTTCTACGAGATCATATGCTTCTCCAATACTTTTATATATACATATATAGATGACCAAAAAAGTGTAGTGCCAAGCCAAATTAAGTTGAGATCTAATTTTTAATTATCTATTTTCCATTGTCCAAGTATTTAAAGTCTTTTGTCCATCTCAGTGCAGTATAGCATTGCTTCAATCCCTCTACAGATTCTATAACTAATTTTAACTTTCTCTTGCGTTTTCATATTAATTATTGTATTCTTTTATACAAGGTGAGTCATATGACTTGCATTCCTCAGACAACTTTTAAATTATGTATGTATTTAATTAAAAATAGTTATATACAAAAGTTGTAGAGTTTTAAGGAGGTGATGTCGCATTCACTTTTTTCGTACATAGTGTAGTTTTCGAAATTTCGAGATCGAAAGTATATTAAATTATAAAAAATTATGAAAAATTAAAACGACGGCTGAGATTCATGTCTGATGCATTTCGATTTTTTTCTAGCATGAAATATCAATTAGGGATTCTGTTTTTCTAGAAATATAAAATGTTGTATAATGACAATATTCGTTCTTAACACTGAAGTTTCTTTTCTATCTCGAATCTATGAAACTACTAATTACAATTTTCTTTATACTGCGCTGCAAGATAATTACCTAGTATAAAATGCCGTAATTAACGAAACTGCATACAATGTAGTTCGTGAAAACGAATCAATGCCATTGTCTAAGACGTAAGCTATAGGTACTCGCGAAGTTTCAAGGTAGAGGTACTAATTAAAATTTTTTATCAGCTCTTGTTTATTATTACGAGTTTTCAAATTTAATAGTATTTGACAGCAGTTGACATAGTAATAGCAATGCTAATTTATCTAATTAATCTACCGTGTGTATTCCACTTGATTATTCTACGTTTAAGATGTAGCACTGTACGCAGTGGAGCTCATTACATAGATATGGAAGATAAAAAGATGTAATCTGGCAAACGAATGCTATCAGTGATAAAAGTGGAGGGGAAGATCAATAGTAACGATAATATTAAGAATGATCTTATACAGATGAAGTCGAAGTAATGTTTACATAGTTGATTAAACGCTTACCGTACTAGACTGCTTTGTTTTATTTCCGTTTATGATAGCATGGTCAATGAAATAAACAGTAAAATAGCTTTACAGCAAATTGATATTTATAGAAACAGTTACCACGAAAGTTGAATTTTTTGGCTAATAACAGAGAAATACTATATATGTAAATACCATCGGAAATATTCTTGTCGTTCGAATTTAGAAAAATTTTAAGACGAATGAGCAAATTCTCTGTATGTAGCAAAAGTAATCAGTTTTTCAATGTTTCGAACTTTTCAAAATTTATGGTCAGAAAATTTAAAATCTGTATACAAAATTTTCTACAAAACAAAGCTGTTAACGTTCGCTCTACTTTCATTGATATGTCAAATTGTATACCATCTTGCTTAAGTTGGAAACGAAAAAAATGTTATTGTTCTCATACCAACTGACAAATATGACGATACACTTTAAAATAATACGCATACAAATAATAAATGTTAATAATGACAATATGATACCCATAAAAATTTCGCATAGCCTGATCAATAAAAGGACCTGGACTACACTTATAATATACAAATTATAATTACAATATAAAAATTATTAATGAAACAATTAATATTCAGCATTATGTGGTTCATATCGCGATATTTCGATATCATTCGAGGATTGCGAAATGTCATCAGAATAATTTCCGATACCACTATAATGTATGGGAACACATTATCTCCCGGAAATGCATGTATATTCGTTTCAATTTCAGCGAAAATTGCAATAATATACCGTATTGCTAGTGTAACACGCGAATCGTCGGCACGCCATGTTGCCGGGAAGATGTTTATCAAGAAAATCACTAAAATGCATCATTAGGATAATCAGGAATTACCGATATTTCTTATTTACTAAACACGAAAATTATAAAAATGATTCGGTGGGTTTACTGTACTATCATGTTTCTTTTTCTACCCTAAATACGTTCTACAAGAAACACATAAAAGTATATAAAGAAATCACAAAAGAGATATAAATTAGTTGAAAAATTAAAAGTACATTCTACTTGTATGTGTGCAATGTCTATTTACGTTTTATAGTGGATGTTTCTTAACGAACACGAACGCTTTAGTGAACAATATTTCGCATGAAATTGAACGACATATGCATTACATTAAATACATATACATATACATATAATATGTCACGTATAAACAAGAGCCAACAGATCTCAACTGTGTCAAAGGTATTGATTGCTGCCTCTCGGAAGTGGCCGAGAGGTGGTCATCGCGCCCTGCCTCCAAAGGATGAAATGAGAAAAGAATGTGATTAATGCTACATAATTTTCTATAGCAAAATTTCCGAGTAAATATTCAATACACGAATACGTCACATCCATATATGGGTAAGAGAGTTATTTGTTCAGAAAAATTGAGATTCATACGCTAATTCGTGAAAATGTCGTAAAACTAATTGATGTTATACAACTGAACTTATCAATTTTAATTTAATTGAACAAAATACTTTAATTTTATTAAGTTTTTTATCTGTGTTAGCGTGGCAATTAAAGTGTTAAAGAAGCGCTTTATTTCGAGTCACTACTACGTATTGACTGCAGAACAAACCTGAAATTCATTTTTTTTTTCAAAAACGAAGACCCATTTTGAGAAAGTTGTTGAGATTTCTCAGTGCTGGACACATGCTAAAACATGTTTAGATACTCTTTCTCAAAAAGTTGGTTCTTCTTGTTAGTTCTAACTCTAGCTACTTATTGAGGTAGGCGTCTTCACATTTTAAATGAACAGTAATGCACGGTTAAATTTAAATGGATTTGGAAGCCAGTACTTTTCTAAGAAGTAGCCTTTTCTTTTCTAGCCAGTAAAGACTTTATTTTAATCGTGCACCACTGTACCTCGTACACCTAATATTATTAGGGCTAATACTTGGTTCAGATCACGTACCCTGCCGACGAAGAATCGCCTGTAACACTTGGCCGTGTCGTCCTGGTCTATCCTGGGTTGCCAGGCGGGTTGCGCCGGAAGTAGCGCCCGGCCAGCTGAGTCCAGGGAGTGTCGATGATCGGTACCGTCGACCCAGTATCCAGACGGTGTCACCACCAGAGGTGGCTGAGACCCGGAAGTGGCTTGCTGAAGCGCAGCCTCCATAAGTGCCCTGCCAACGGGTGCATCTCCCACCGGTGATGGAGACGGTGTGGGTGTGTGATTATTCTGACTGCCAGGACTCGACGCCGCTCGATCCTCCCGCGGAGTCTGTAACCATAAGACACCAGATCCTTAATTTACGGCCACGATTCGCTTAATCGTCGTAACGTTTCGATTCAGTCACGATCGGAAAAGACTTTGTGATATTATGTATCAAAGACTACGTATTCAATGCCCACGTGTGAACGTTTATCAACTCTTATCTCTGCTATGTTAATAGCAAGAAACATAAGTTGGAAGAAAATGTCATTTTTCTTTTAAAAATGACAACAGATCAAAAATAATGTAACGATGTCCTCAAATTCTTCTAATGTATTCAATGTTTTGAGAAAGCAAAGAATGAACCTCCAACATATCTCCGAAGTTTCATAATTTGCCGAAGTCTAATCACTTTTCCTCCATCAGTTGAAATTCTATTAAAGCTTCCACAGTGGTATTGGAGAATATAGGTCACGAAGTTTGGAGCTTTCCTGCGAGAGTAGAGTTCGAATGTGTGTTCTTTGAAATTTCAGAATCGCCTGACGAAATAAGGGCGAATAATTCGATATGTTACACATATACGTACAATGTACGAGTATGTGCATACATTGTACACACAGTTTCGAGACTCATATATAATTCCAACGACTCTTGCCGTTGTGGTCACCCAACTGTTAGTAGCAGGCATTACATATGTATACCTACGCGATCGACTTTGATGGAGAACTGTCATAACCGCTTTAACTGTACCGCGCGATCTCTTCTAGAAACGGAATAATTATATTGTCATTATCAGAACACCGCTGGCTGTCTGTCTGGGTGCGTGAACAACAATGTGCTGTTCGCGAAATTTGCACGGCAATACTACCGGCAATGTGTTCACGAATCTCCATATATTCCCGCTTTCTACGTTTTTTCTAACACGCGTTATCCTTCTACAGTGACTTGGATTCCTCCGGTTGCATAAGGGATAAAAACTTAATGCGGAAAACTAGAAACAGTTATCTAAGGCTGATGTTCCTATTCGTGACTACGTTTTTGCAATTACTAACTGATTACTTCAAACAATTACCTTTTTCCTATTTATGAACTATAGTTAAAAATTTGGAGTGTTTTAAGAATCAGTTGCTTATTTAGAGAAAATTCCGCCAATTAAATTAAAAATGAAAACTATGATAATTATATTATAAAATATAAATTGCTCTATTCACTGAAATACGATTATACATAAAGCTAGAATTAAGACTGATGTACATTGCTTCGTAAGAATGATAAGATTGGATTTACTAAAAGAAAAATTTGTCATTGAAACATTTTTATAATTTCAGTAACTGTAAAAGAAGAAATCAGAAACCAATCAATTATGACTGGTTTGGTATTTCTAGGATTAAAATGCAAAATGGATCGATATTCGATGTCGAAATTCATCAATCGAAGAAAATCGTTAAAAAATCGGGCACGATCATTAATTCATAACAAATGAACAAAGCATGTAAACTCCCGTGAATTTAAACGGGAAATCGATTTATCATTAGTATTTCATTTGGTCAAGTTTGGGCAGTTGCGTAACGAAAATCAAAATGGTTATCGCATAAAATTTCAGTCGTGTCGCCGTGTTACCGTGTATATCATCGATCGGCTCGAAAGGAAGCAGCGGGAAAGAAATGGTCGGGCTGCAGGAAATCGAGATGTCTTTGGCTATTCATCGTGATCATGAAACCAGAACAATTGAATAGTCTCATAAATTGGAAAAGGAAACGCAATAATCGCGTTCATAAACGTCATTCGACACGAATTTCGTATATTTCAAACGGCGAATTACGAGCATTTAATATACTTATTATCTACCAGACTCGCGAATACTACCGAATACTACCACAGTACAGAATACAATTTCGAATTTTTCATTTCCAGCTCTACATGATACGAGTTCGTCGTTGAACCGTTGAATAAGTTCATCGTTTCGTTGAATACCCACTGAAATTCTCTGAATATCATCGATTATTGTCGTCGATTAATACTCATTTTTATGAAACATTTACTATGTAAAATATTTATTTTTTAAACGTTACATTGTATTATTTACATGCTTTTAATCGATTACGGATTTAACCAACGGAGCAGTTCAATAATTAAATATGGATTTTATTCATTTTTTTGAAATATATTTCAGTTCCGCCCATTTATTACACTTTCAACAATATCATGTTCTTCAAAAGCACAAAAAATGCTTTCCAAACATTCTGCGATCACAATTAACTTCATTTGTAGTTCCAAAATCAAGATTTGTGCGGATAATCTTGAATACCAAGGTTTCGAAACTATACATTTTGGATGCGTCCATTGCGGCTATTACGATCGACAAAATATCAGCTGTAGATGGGAACCATAACCAACTCTGGCTGTTCGAAGCGAACTTAAACAATTCCCGTGGGAAAATAAAGTCAAACTGGAATACGCCTGGATGTCAATGCGAAGAACACGTATTCCAAGTGCATGTGTATTGGTTCATAATGTTGAAACGCACTTCGATGGACAGACGGTAGTTGCCCAGTTGAAATATCATTAGTTTAATTGTCGACTGTCATTATAGAAGCATTATCAATTACATGAAATACCTCTTTGCGAAGAAAATTACAACGGGGAGTACAAGAGTTTCTGGTAAAGAATATGAATTCTATTGGTCAATATTTAATTTCCAGTTTGCAATATGCCTTTGTATATCTACAGAGAAACACGCGTTTCTAGTTCTTTATACTGATGATGAACGTGTGACATTACTTCATGTTCAAAACGTTGAACAGAAATTTTTGCACACGACCAGCTCGCGTAGCACTGTATGGTTTCCAAACTGAAATTTCGAATGTATTTTCAAATGGACACGATTTAAAATGGCTGGTGATATTTAATAATAATTAGTGACATATTACTTGGTTAACAAAAGTTTGAATTGATGGTTCAGTACGTTCTAATAATTGCTTCGAATGCAAAATATTCATGATTTCAATTTCACGTTAAAACAGGTATTAAAGGAAATACGCCGAATACGTATTACAAAACGATACTGATATACAGAATGTTAAAAATAACTCAAGTCGAGTGTGCAAATAGATGGACCAGGCGGCGCTGATTAACAATACGAACGAAGCATTCAAAAACATTGAAATTTCAGCAAAACAACCACTTAATCACAGTCGTTAATTGAAACTTCGTTCTCTTTATTTTCTTTGCACCGTAAGTCCGTTACTATGTTACACGTGTTGCACAGCGTCGCATCGCAAAGAAGGAAACAGGTGAGAATTGGAGCAAATAAAATATGTACCCTACATCTGATTTTAATTGCTAATTCGAACGATTTAAATTGCAAACGTACCACGTCGCTTTTGAGTTTAAAGGGGAGATCGATATCTTTTCGTAATATTATAAGAGTTTCTGCGCGTGCAATGTTTCCTATACGTATTTTCGGCTGCTTATACATTGCACAGTGAATTTTGAAGTAACTAAAAACGGATGTTGGTAATCAGGCTTTTCCTGTAACTCCATAGGTTACATAGTACCTATTGTTGCGGAATTTTTGTCCGTTAAGATTGATTTCCTCTATTGAAAAAATTTATCTAATTCAATAAGAATATATCTTCTAGCTGAAGAATATTTTTCGCATATTTTTCATATAATAATATTTGAAACGATATTAAAGATGTAAAAATTTCATAAAAGATGTAAAATAGGCCATTTTTCTCCTATTCCGACTACCAAAGGAATGTTGTTTGAATAACTGTACATTCAACATACAGCTCTAAACTGGCTTGGAAAACATTTTTCTTACTATTTAAATACTTGTTTTATTATAAAAAAATATGAAAAGGAACTATCCTTGTATTTAAAGAGCTTTTAAAGCACCCTTGCACTACATTTTCTTTCACAGCTATATTGATTAGCACTTCTTCGTTTTTAATAATTTCCCCTAATAGAACGAGACAATTTTTGTTTTTTGTACCTATGTTATGTAATGTGCAATTTACTTTCATTCCTGGATTTTGATAATAGAAGTATCAAATTTTATTTTCATTTTGACACAAGATATGAATTACATTTATATTTAAATCGTATAAATAAATTACAGTCTTTATATATATATATATATAGAGTGACGCTGTTGACTTCTCGCTAGTTCGATATTGCGTCATAGTCGATATAATCGAGTAAAAAGCTGACGGTAACAGAAAATCGTTAAATTCATTTAATCGTTTACTTGGAAAGTGCTGTGAAACCTTTTCCTTCTCGAAATAGGTCGATAATGGTATTAGGGTAATGGAAATGATGCAGGACTCGGTGTAAAGGGCACTGAACGTAAATAGTAGGAACACATGGTGTTGCGGCAGGTGTTACTGTAATGCAAACGAGTGCTCGTGAATATCGTTGCACTGGTGATATCGAACAGGCACAATTGGTTATTTCGCATCGACAAGATCCAGGTCCTTTATAGGTGCGAAATATTTCGCAAGGAAGAGAATCATTTCATTTTCGGGACGCTGAAAGTCCTAGCCGAACCCGAGCTTCTATGTAGACTAAATCTTCGTTTCTATTTCGATCACGTAAAGTCTTGTATTTATTTTCTCCGTGAGGACGTTGTTTAGTTAATCGAGACGTTGACATATGCTCCAGAGCGCTTCAGAGTGTCGAAATATTCTGTCGACGTACCAACTGATTTGCAGAACCTTAAAAAGTCATCCAGAAGCTCTAAGTTACCGGACAAAGAATTAAATTGGTAAACTTAGGGATTGCAAAAGTAACTTTCCAATAATTCTTTAAGATTTAGAAAAAGTGAAGTGTTCACATAATATTAGGTAAATAATAAAAAATAAATGATATGATGGACTGTACAATTATGGATTTTTAATCTTCTCATCATTTTGGTTCAATCTGCTTACTATGAGTGGTGTAATAAATTAAAATTCAAACCTTCTTACCAAAAGCACTTCTGTTATTATTTTTAAAATCCATTGGAAAGTATATTTGTTTTGCTATGGAAATGACAGTGACGATACTAAAACTTCACTTATCATACA